TCAAATATGCACCGTTTTGTTCGATAACTTGTTGCCATTTTGAAGGTAATTCCATTATGCCTCTCTCATAGAAACCCTTGTCCCTATTGGCAAAAAACTGGGACAGTCGATTTTCACAAGCTTCTCTTGAGGCGAATTTTTCACCAGCAAAATCATTCGCTATAGACAGGAACAAGTGGTAATCACTTGGTGCCAGGTCCGGACTACAAGGTGGATGCATAAGAACCTTCCAACCAAGCTCCCGGAGCTTCTGACGAGTCACTATCGACGTGTGTGGCCTGGCGTTGTCCTGATGGAACACAATTCCTCTCCTATTGGCCAAAGTTGGCCGCTTTTGGGCGATTGATTCCTTCAGACGGTCCAATTGTTGATAGTATAGGTCCGAATTAAGAGTTTGGCTGTAGGGGAGCAGCTCATAGTGGATGATTCCCTGTCAATCCCATTAAACACACAGCAAAGCCTTCCTGACCGTCAATCCTGGCTTGGCCACCGTTTGCGCCGGCTCACCGCGTTTCGACCACGACCGTTTTCGCTTGACATTATCGTAAGTGACTCACTTTTCATCACCAGTCACCATCCGCTGCAGAAATGGGTCGATTTTGTTGTGATTCAGCAGCGATTCGCAGATGGAAATTCGGTCCATGAGGTTTTTTTGCGTTAACTCATGTGGCACCCATACATCGAGCTTCTTTTTGTATCCAGCCTTATTCAAGTGGTTCCAAACGGTTTTTTGTGCAATGTTTAGCTCCTGGGCAATCGAAACAGTGCTTACATGACGGTCGGACTCGACGATTTTCATTATTTTATCGACATTTTCGACAATTGGCCTTCCAGAGCATGGTGCATCTTTGACATTAAAATTAGCGGAACGAAATCAACGAAACCAAAATTGTGCGTGATTGGCTGTTACAGTATCAGGACCATAAACACTATTCACATTTTCAGCCGCCTGGCTTGCGTTTTCGCCTTTATCGAAGAAAAAGTGTAAAATATGGCGTATTTTCTCTTTGCTGGTGTCCATCTTTGACACGCGCTCAAACAATACTGAGTCAAACAATCACAAAACTGTCTGAGAAGTTTTTTTAGTACGAAATCTTATCTTTCTAACGCCATCTAGCGTAAATCGATCGCACTTATACAACGCGAGATACACGTTACTAAAGCCATCTATTGGAAAAATAATGGATTTCTTTTTACTACACCTTATAATATCTCGTCTGTGTCTATACCCAGTGAGAAATGACTTACCGATAGACGTCGATTTGATGATTTCAACGTCTTTTCGACATCGATCGGTAAGTCATTTTTCACTCGGTATCACGAAGCACAATGTTTGCACGGAACACAATCTTGGTATAGATTGGAAAATATACAAAATGAATACGTGTGTATGAGTGTATGTGAATATAAAGTTTTATCCTGATTGCAACTATCTGTTATAAAAACATACCTGTGAAATAATAGTTTTTTATCATTTTTACGTTCCCATTCTAGTTGTATTTTATTTTTCCAGTTTCTCGGTTCTCCGGCTTTTTTTTTTACAATGTTTCTCGTAACAATCCGGCATCTTCTACTATGAAATATATAGTCCTATCCATAAGGACCTTTCACCACAAAGATTAAAATCCTCGATGTATACACATATGTCATATATATACAGGGTGTTCGGTAACTGATCGAGCAACCGCCGTGTACGGGTAGAATGAGTCAAAATAATCATAAAAGTTATACCATTTTGAAATTTTCTCAATATTTATTCCGTAATGAATTAAAATGTATAAGCGAATGAGCTCACAAGAAGTGGTAGGACAGGTTCTGTGTGTAAAAGAAATGGCTTACCTCTTAACAACGATGAATAAACAGCTGATTTTAAGTGGTAGGACAGGTTCTGTGTGTAAAAGAAATGGCTTACCTCTTAGTAATGATAAATAAACGGCTGAAGCGACACGTATACGTTACTCCACCTCGAAATCAACTGTTTACTCATCGTTGCTAAGAAGTAAGGCCCGGTTGCACCAACGTTATTTTGATTTTATGCAAGACTTAAATATGTCTGTTTTTATTTATTTAGAAAGAAAGATAAAGATAGAAATATATTTAAGTTTTGCTTAAAGTCAAAATAATATTGGTGCAACCAGGCCTAAGCCATTTCTTTTACACACAGAGCCTATTCTACCGCTTCTCGTGAGCTCATTCATTTATACATTTTGATTAATTACGAAATAAGTATTAAGAAAATTTCAAAATGATATATAACTTTTATGATTATTTTAACTTGTTCTACCTGTACACGACGGTTGTTCAATCAGTTACCGGATATCCTGTATATCACTTTTAATCACCCTTTGATCATCTTTTGATCAAAGATGGCCGCGACGAAGTTTCCCCTCACCGCGCTGACTTCACACTCCGCGCCAATTAAAATACTTTACGCTCCGTCCAGGGCCCATATTCTTGAAATTTTTGCGTATACGTAACTTTCATTGCGCAGCTATTTTATGGTATGATTAAACCTGCGCAGTAAAACTTACATATACGCAACTATTTCAAGAATAAGGGCCAGATATTTCTACGTCCATGGATGGGATTCAAATCTCTATGATATTTAGACCCCTTACAATTAATACACCCATTATTTTTATTAGTTCAAAGTCTCCGCTACGAGTCGCCACTGTACTAGTAGAAGGATCGGAGTGTGATATAACACTCATATATGCCTACAATATATGTAACATGAACTATAGATAAATGCGCGCATATGCGTGAAACGGAACGCAGCCTATAACGACAGTCAGACGTATTAAGCCCGTATCAGACTACCGACTGCACAGGGCGACCCGACTGCCGACTACGACTCTCAATGGACCAATCACAGTGAGGCGCCGACTCGGTATGAAATGTCAGTGATCAAAACGAACATACCTCGCAGCGTCGCACAGATCCTGCGTCATGATGCACGAACATATAGAGATACGTCGCGTTCGATCAGAACGCCTGCCAAACTTCAAGCGCGAGGGCATACACGACGCCGAGTGAACTCGCACGAGACTAGCCGAGGGTACCTCAGGCCAGTCGCCATTTTGTTGGGTAGTCATCGGGATCGTCGTGTTACTCTCACTCGGGATCCGTCGTAATTTTGTCCGGGCAGACGGTGAAACGCCGTGGGATTCGGGGCGCAGCTCTCCTACTACACGCCATTCCGCAAATGGCTTGTCTGAACACCCTCAAGCAGGAAATCAAAACGCTCGAATCCGTCTTCCCCAAGAGCCATGAGAGGTTTCAGATAATGTCCGCGAGCGTGGACGAGCTCAGCTGCAGGTTCGTCGGTAAAAATGGGAAGAAATACGAAATACACGCCAATATCACAGTAAGTGAAACTGCTGCTTGCGCGTACGCGTAAGAGCACACGCGAGTGCCGGTTTTAAACGATCACGGGCCCTGTTTTCGCGTTCGTTGTGCGTCCGTGCGTGCGTGTGTTGCTTCGTTGCTTGGTTCGCTCGTTCGTTGCTTCGTATCTTTCGTTACTTTCTCGCACGCTTATCGTCTTTCAACTGCGTACACGTTCAGGTAGACACTCGGCTATGTAAAGCTGTCCACCTCAGGTAAATGGACAAAGAAACACAATGACTCAATACTTGCTGTTTGGGTTCTATTGACAGGACCAGCTTCTAACGGTACCGATTTCACGATGTTCTCGTTGCTACCTGTTTTCCCTCGATAGCTCGATCATCTTGACGCCGTTGACATCGATTTTTTTTCGCGGCATCGTCGCCTCGGTGCTCACGCGACGTACTTTGTTTGGCGGATTAACAATAAACGATAAAAGTCGATGCTTACAAAGAGCAGATAGCGAGGACGATTCTCCCTTGTGCGGGACGTCTGTTGTCAGTGCTTTCTGTCGGGGACTTTAAAAGAGTCGTTGCGACGTGTACTCGTCAGCTTCGTCAAATCAGGTTTATGCGTTTTCCAGACGACGTCGCGTCGCGTGCTCCGCTGTTCACGTCGTGATTGTTGATTGAGAAGCGCGAAGTGATTTTTTTTTAACCGATTCTAGTGCACGAGAACATTTAGGTAAGACGCGTTCAGCACGAAAACGCCTGAGCCGGAACTGCTGGGCAATTAGTGACGCCGTATGTATTAATATCGTCGTCAGGATATAGAGGTAGTGAGAAAGAGGGAGAGGGAGAAGAAGAAGAGAGAGACAAAGAGCGAGAAAGAGACAAAGAAAAAGGAGATCGTAAATCTCGCGTCGTGCACAATGTGTCGCGCTCGATCGACCATGATCTCACACGTCGAATACGATTTAATTGCGAGGCGAAATTAGCAAGGCGAGTTCGATTGTCTCGTGGTGTGGAAAACGCAACGCCGCGTCGCAGTACGCAACAACGTGCGATGTCAGCGCGGAGAGCATGGCAATCGAGTGCAATGCGACTTCCTTTTTTTCTTCTTTCCTTTTTTAACGCATGTTGTCCTACGTACGGTTTCAGTGCGTGTTGCATCTGCATCTTTCGTGCATTATTTACCGATTGCGCGATAGATGTCAGGTGTGCAGTGTGTGTGTGTGTGTTGTGTGTGTGTGTACGCGTATACATTTAAATCATGCGCGCGCTTGCGTGCGTGTATGGGAAAGTTAATTATCGCGTCTTGAAGCTTTGTTCGTAAAACATTGATGATGTTAAAGTCCGTTTCCTTTTTAAGTATCTCAGCATATCTCAATCTCAGATAATCGTTTATCTGTAATGGTTAAAGTAAATGTTCCAATGACCGAACTGATAAGAAAACATAATTAGTTTTGCATCGACAAATAATTATAATGGAATTATTAACAAAACTAACGTTTACATACTGAAACTTTGGCTTGTCAGTGAGCGAAAAGTGATAGGAAATAAACAATAAGTGTATCACTCCATAATTTCAATGAGATAATAAGTAATGCTGGTTCTGCTAGTAATTTAACTGAAAAATGAAGCATATTCCAATTAACAAATAATAAATTCTAATTGAATGGTTATTATATAATATTATAAATTAGCATATCTTTTAATGAAACTTAAAAGTCTTATTTTTGTGTATGTATTAGAAATATTTTAAATATAAATATATTATTATGTATTTCACAATGTTCAATCATTAGGACATGTTCAATCACAGGGACATTTACCTTATCTGTAAACACGAATTGGTGTGTCTACGATACAGCTGCATCAATATTAACAATGTTTATGTAGGAAACCTATCCTTCTACACCGCCAGTCTGGTTTGCCGAGTCTGAGGAGACTAGTGTTACAAACGCTGTACAAATTTTAAGTAACACAACAGGCCGTGACAACCATGTAATCAACCAAGTCGGAATTCTCCTGAAAGAATTATGCAGACTACATTCGTTACCAGAACCACCGGATGTCGAAAGACTCAGAACGGCTTTGGATCCTTTACGTTTAGGAGGACCAAACGAAGCCGTGGCGCAGAGAATGGACGCCGAGGACGTTGATGACTTCGACGAGGATGAAGAGAGCGAGACTGAAGAAGACCTCCACCTAGACATGGACGAGGGAGATGCTAACGCTAAGAGTAAGGTAAAGAAAGAGCAATGGACGATTAATTGTGTTCACTTGTTATTATTGTTACGCCGTAATCTTAATTGTCAATGATACAGGGCGAAGAAATGGACTTGGAACATCTCGCGACGTTGGAGAGGTTGAGACAGAATCAGAGACAAGACTATTTAAAAGGATCTGTTTGTGGAAGTGTACAAGCTACCGATAGACTCATGAAGGAACTACGTGATATTTATCGAAGTGACAGCTTTAAAAAAGGTATTATCTCCTTGGAACTATTGAGTTTTGAGTAGACTACATTGTTGTGGTATGCATTGTGCGTTTCATTTGTATAAATACTTTTGCATTTTCCTTTCCAGGAATGTATAGCATAGAACTAGTAAATGACAGTTTGTATGAATGGAATATCAGGTTGATGTGTGTAGATCCTGATTCACCACTCCATAGCGATCTCATTCTTCTAAAAGAGAAAGAAGGCAAAGACAGTATTCTTCTCAACATGCTTTTTAAGGTATCTTATTTGTGTAAATTGGATATTCTAGTGTGATATGCTTTTGTATGTGATATACGATTTGGAACAGGCTTGTGGACATTCGTCCTTCTTTCAAACATTTATTGCATTATTCAAATCATTTGCAGGAAACTTATCCATTCGAGCCTCCATTCGTAAGAGTTGTACATCCCATCATTTCCGGTGGATATGTTCTTGTAGGAGGCGCAATTTGCATGGAGCTTCTTACGAAACAGGGATGGAGTTCGGCATATACGGTGGAAGCTGTTATAATGCAGATTTCAGCAACGTTAGTAAAGGGCAAAGCGCGTATACAGTTCCAAGGATCAGGTGGTGCTGGCAAAGTGTGCGGCGGGCAAGGCCAATATAGTTTGGCACGTGCCCAACAGTCATTCAAGTCTCTTGTACAAATACATGAAAAGAATGGTGAGGATATATATATCTGTTGTACTCTATACTAGATGTGTCATTCGGAGAAGACTATCTTACTTATGTATCTATTACTATTACTTATCTTACTATTCTTATCTACTTCTATTTATCTTACTTATGTATCTATTTCTAATGTGTATCATTTTGTGTTTTGGTAGGATGGTTCACGCCCCCGAAAGAGGATGGCTAATGAACAGCGGTTACCGAAACGTACCGAAAAAATGACACGTGCTTACAGATGAGACTTTAATTCGGTGTGTGCCCAACAAGTAATTGTTATGATAATGATTTGATACACAAACACAACAGTAACTAGGTAACTTAAGATATTGAATTAATCTAACGTATAATTCCTTTGATGGCTAAAAAGCTGCCGTGCAGTTTGGTTTCGTCTACAGATTTTCGGTCGTAGCGGTTAGATCGCTAATTGTATTGGTAAATGTAAGGTATCATTTCATCTGGAATTGATTCTTATGTTTTGACTGAGAATCTCAATTGTTATGAACGACATAGTAATTTTAGTACTTTCTCGAGGATACATATGTTGTACGTGCGAAACAGTATAAATATTCTGAAAAATGCGTTTGCGCAATCGTGCTTCCTGTCTTTTTAACGGGAGGAGATTATAGTTAGCATTTTTAGATTAATAATACTGGAGAGATTTTTAAGTGTTTCTTTCATTATTTTATTATTATAAGCACTACATTCTTTATTTTCTATGAAAAAGGACGAATAATTTTGTGCAATTCAGTGACAGAAAAAGTGGATGTCACTTAACTTTTTTGAAACCATTTTTCAGCCAGGTATCTCGTAAGATATATATATATATATATATATATATATATATATATATATATATTGCGAGTGCACAACCAAAGCATTCCTCGACAAATTTAATTGGAAATAAAGTGACTACATAGGATATAAAAGTATAGCTTCATATCGGGAGGCTCTAGAGAGTACACGACCATAGGACTCACAAAAGTTTTAGCGAACTTTTCAGAATTGCAATTGAATGTGTTTCGTAAAGCTAATTTTCTCTATAAACAGTAATCGAGTTAGATTTTTGACACAAGAAGCAATATTTTTTTACATTCGGCAAATAACGTATTCCGTGACACTGATAGATTAGATGAAATGTAGATCCTTATAATGCTTGTATCGTATACAATGCAATAATTAATATGCATGTTTATCTTTTACTTAGAAAGTAGAGAAGAGACAGATACTAATGTATAAGTATCGTAAACTTGTGAGCACTTTCTTTTTTCAAGTAGAAGATATCGCGAAACTTTTATTTCGTCGGTTTCTTTTCTTGGCAATACTACTGGGATAGCTTTCTATAACATAATATATGCCCTGTTGTAACATTCAATCAAGTATAGGAGTTTGAGAGATGTATAGATGTATATAATGCAAGTACTCTTTAGAGTCTTTTTACCAGAAGGCATAAAACGCAATGGAAGCTTTCGAAGGTTTTGGTTGTGTGTATTATCTGAATTCGTGGTTTAACTCTTTATTGTTTCCAATATGTTGCAGTTTTCTAGTAAAACGTATGATACGTTTTGTGATTATGACTATATAGACGAACTGTAATTTTTCATAATACAAGATGAGCGAGTACTGAATATTATTTGACAGAATTAATTCTTATGTGCAAATTTGTTTTCGAAGAGCCATCATTTCCATACGTATAATTAATAATTAATAGTGACACAATTATTGTTTATACAAGTAATCTGATTATTATTATTTACAATAATGCATTTATCGTATATGTTAATTAACGTATTAACGTAGTATATTAGTAATATCAATATTGATATTAGTAATATCAATATTGATATTAGTAATTCATAATTGCCCACAATAAGGAAGTTTTTTAGAACGATGTTAATTTTATGCGCACCACATCAGCTATCGTTTGCGCGACAAATAAATGGCCAAACTTTACGTATACGCTCCTAAAAGCGAATTTGTCCATTAGAATTAATAACGGATATCGTAACGCTGATAACTTTAGTGATTCTAATTTTCATTATCACAAATTATTCGCGAGATATTCCCGACGTCTGTTTTCACGCAAAAAAGAAAAAAATACTTGTGTTAGATTTGTCAATGTTAAGTGTAATTTCATATTACAGCATGAAAATTAAGTTGCAGAAACCGTATAAATTGTAGTATAAAATGAATTTGCAATTGCTTTAATACTCTCCGAATTTATATCGCACTTCTGAACAACTACGCAATTTGTTTCGTACATACATACATACATACATACATTAATAAATAAACATCCCCCTTGATTCATGTACGCACGCACGCACACGTACATACATGTACACAGATAGACACGTACATATATACATACACATACACGCATTCTGTTCCTCGTGCTTCATCTTCCTACGTGATTATAAATGTAGTTTCTGCTGTCATGTTTATAATCGCGAATGATTTTCATCATTTCTAGTAAAAGCCAGAAATGCATCTTCCTTTTTTTTCTTGTAAATATCAATATAATAATGACTAATCGAATTGTATTTGAGAGACTCTCGTTTCAAGTATTGTTGCTTTGATAATGTCGCTGATACGTGTCTCTGAACCAATCATCGTGTTTGCTCTCGTTAGAATGAGACAAGAAGGAGCGTGCCCTATTGATCGTATGAAGATGAAGCAGTACATATGTTATTTGGTAATAACGTATGTACACTGTATCGGTACACATGATTATTGGTATAACTGGATCGAGTAGCGTGGATTATTAGTTTCGTTCGCGGTACCGTTAAACTCGTTTGTGAGGGAATCGTATGAGCAGTATCGTCATATAAATAATAGATTCTTAAGTATAAATGTGCGATCATCGAGCTCGTTGTCAGTGGGTATCACGATTTGTACAGCCGCGCCCGTTTGACACTGAGTAACTGGTTGTTCGACGTTCGTTATAAACGTTATGTTCTTCTTTGCCAAAACTCTTCTTCGTTCCCGTCTCTGTTAAGTTTTTCTTTTGTATAATCGTATATGATCGCGGGGAGTAATGTGACATGTATATTTTTGCTACAAATATCGTTAAGACTTTTAATTTTCGTAGAACATTCGACTCTTGCCGTAATTCTTCTCGACGGCTTTCAAAGGTCTCTTGACACACCTCGCCGTAAGGTCAACGATGTTATATATGCGATTTTAGTTTGGATTAATTAATATTGAGTGAACGTACCACACACGAGTAAAAAAGGGACGAGAGATGCGTATTAAATAAGAAAACGAAGATAATTCCGGCATGTCGGGATTCGTTCAGGATTGTATATTTCGTTTTTATTTGTATACAAGAAATGCGTGTATAAAACGAAAGAAAGAGAACCGCAAAGGTGAACGTTTGAGAACTAGCCGGATGTTACACAACTGTGGAATATACTTTTCAAACCTTCTAGATTTTATGTGCAGCGGTATAGTTGTAAAACACCTATACGACGTTACGTTATATTCGAAGCGATCTATTTGAAGACTGATAAAAAACGAAACGGAACACTTGAACGTTCTTTTCTTCCACACATATATTACATCTATGGCAAAATGTATCTTTCACGCGAGACTTCGATTCGTGAGCATAATGAACGAGAGGTATTCAAGCCATTTATTCGCATTGGACGGGATTTTCTGTATTTCCTCATTTACGAAATTAATGTGTATTTGAGGTATTCACACGAAGGCAACAGTGCAAATTCGAAAAGATGGATTGATTTGTATTTGTGGCAAAAATAGTATTTCGTCTAAAGTCTCTTCCAATTCGTTTGTTCACTTTTCACGATTGATTATCGATGTGAATATATCTGTTTATTATCCATCGTATTGTATTGACTCGCCTTTAAGTAAAATATCAATTGATTTAACGAAGAAATGGTCTCTTTCTAGTTTTTTCATTTTTTTTTTCTGTTTTAAGGGAGAGCACCCGGTTCACGCGGAACATAAGCGAGGTGAACGAGGCCCGATAAGAGAGTGCGGCATATTTGGAAATTACAAAAAGAAAATTAAGAAAAGAGGTCCACACACATATACACACCTACACACATGTACCTGGTTGCCGATCCGTATTCGAGGTAGTCGATAACAATCTCCGTTTCGCTTGAACCGTGGTATTTGATCGTATCCATTTGATATTCGGGATGTAAACTTTGTGTATCGTGTTAAGTATAATTGTATAACTTACTCTCATATTGTAACATTCTCTGACGAGGGTATAGACTTCCGGATCGAAGCAGCGTGTGTGTCGTACGCGTCGAGAGAAATCGCGATTGACATATCTCTCTTATTTTATTTTTTTTTTCGGAACTTGTACCGCGCATCTTCAAACGAAAATCGCCCGTCCCTTGTTCTGTTTTTTGCGCAAACGCGTTCTCTTTCTCTTTCTCTCTCTCTCTTTCTCTCTCTTCCTTTTTTGAAGCACTGTCACTTTCTCGACGTGGACGATATTCCTCGAGTCTAAACCCCATAAGTTAAACTCACATCACCGTCTCTGTCTGCATTGCCCTACTTGCGTATAATTACCGACTCATCGCGGTTAATCGAGCGATCGATCCATTTTTGTTAATCGGTCGTGTCGTTCTCATTGTCAATCTATAATCTTAAGATTACTCTATACGTATCCTAAATCTGCTCCACTTGTATATCGTACCATTTACCGACTTGAGTGAAAGTTTCCATAATTCTAATATATCGAGCATTATACTTTCTCTCTATTCTCTCTCTTTCACACCACGATTTCACGTTAAGTTACGTTAATTATTATTTAGAAGAACGCTACGAAACACAGAAAATAAAGATTTTAATAAAAAAGAAAAAACAAAAACTGATTTAGATCATAAACGTGCTATCCTTCTTCGTCGTTTTACATAAAGTACACAATTGTGTAATTATTTTATCAACGAAGCCCGGGAGGCTTTCCGCCGTTCCCCCCCCCCC